AACAACCACTAAGCCAGGCACAGTAACTCATGTCTATGATCCCAGCACTTCAAGAAGCCAAGGCAGTTGGATCACAAGGCCAAGACCAGACTGACCAATATGGTGAAACCCCATCTCCACTAAAGATACGAAAATAGCCGGGCATGGTGGCATGTGCTTGTAATCCCAGCTACTTGGGAGGCTGAAGCAGGGGAATCATTTGAACCCAGGAGCCGGAGGTTGCAGTGAACCGAGGTCGCACCACTGCATTCCAGCCTGGGCAACAGACTGAGACTCCATTTAAAAAAAAAAAAAACTTGCCGGGCGCGGTGGCTCACGCCTGTAATCCCAGCACTTTGGGAGGCCAACGCGGGTGGATCACAAGGTCAAGAGATCGAGACCATCCTGGTCAAAAAGGTGAAACCCCATCTCTACTAAAAATACAAAAAATTAGCTGGGCATGGTGGCTTGTGCCTGTAATCCCAGCTACTCAGGAGGCTGAGGCAGGAGAATTGCCTGAACCCAGGCGGCGGAGGTTGCGGTGAGCCGAGATCGTGCCATTGCACTCCAGTCTGGGTAACAAGAGCGAAATTCCATCTCAAAAAAAAAAAAACAAAAAAAAACTAGCCAGATGTGGTGGCTGTTTGTGATCCTAGCTACCTCGGGGGTTGAGGTGGGAGGATTGCGTGGGCCCAGAAAGTAGAGATTGCAGTAAGCCATGAACATGACACTGCACTCCAGCCTGTGTGACAGAGCCAGACCCTGTCTCAAAAAAAAAAAAAAAGTAGCAAAACTCATGGTCATCATTCAGCCAATATTTACTGAGCCTTTGCAGTGAAGAAATGTAGAATGGCAAATTCTTGGCATGGAGAAATAAATGAGGAACTCAGGGAGCAGAGTCAGAAGGCAGAAGCCGCTAGAAAGAAGGCAGTGCCTGCTTTTTAATTTAATTTAATTTTTATTTATTTATTTTTTTTGAGATAGAGTCTTGCTCTTCTGCCCAGACTGGACTGCAATGACAAAATCGGCTCACTGCAACCTCCATCTCCCAAATTCAAGTGATTCTCCTGCCTCAGCCTCCCAAGTAGCTGGGATTACAGGGATATGCCATCATGCTTGGCTAATTTTTTGTATTTTTAGTAGAGACGGATTTTGCCATGTTAGCCAACTAGTCTTGAACTCCTGACCTCAGGTGATCCTCCTGCCTTGGCCTCCCAAAGTGCTAGGATTACAGGTGTGACTCACCTCACCCAGCCCAGTGCCTGCTTATTGAGTTCCACAGTCTCCTAGGCATTTCATCTCTCATCCTATCACATCTGTGGGGAAGACTCAAGAAACAGTCCAGCTCCTCCTTGCCAATAAATAAATAATGTGTGTTCCTTGGCTCATTGCTTTACTGTCTCGGGCTTCAGTTTCCTCATCTGTAAATGGGGTCTACCTATCACACACAATTGTTGGGAGGATTGAGTTCTAGAACTTCTTTTTATTTTTTCTTTTTATTTATTTTTTTTATAAAGACGGGGTTTCACCATGTTGGTCATGCTGGTCTTGAACTCCCGATCTCAGGTGATCCGCCTGCCTTGGCCTCCAAAGTGCTTGGATTACAGGCGTAAGCCACTATGCCCGGCCGAGTTCTAGAACTTCATATATTGCCGGGCACTGTAGCTCACACATGTAAACCCAGCACTTTGGGAGGCCGAGGCAGGCAGATCACTTAGGGCCAGGAGTTTGAGACCAGCCTGGCCATCATGGTGAAACACTGTCTCCACTAAAAATACAAAAATTATCTAGGTGTGGTGGAGGACACCTGTAATCCCAGCTACTCAGGAGGCTGAGGCAGGAAAATTGCTTGAACCCGGGAGGCAGAGATTGCAGTAAGCCAAGATGGCACCACTGCAGTCCAGCCTGAGTGACAGAGTGACACCCTGTCTCAAAAAAAAAAAGCTCAAGGCTTAAAAAAAAAAAGATCTTGGCATATGTAACTTAGCTTAGAATAATACGCCCTCAGTTGATGTTTGCTCTTATTACAACATATGAGGAAGCTGAGGCTCAGGGAGGCCCATGCGCTGTTTCTCTCCACCGCTTGCAGTACACAGAGGGTTAAGGTGGAAGCTTTGCCCTTTTCAGCAGAGCCAAGCCAGGATTTGGCTGTCTGCTCTGCCCTGGAGAAGCAAGGACAACTGTCATCACAGGATAACTTCAGGTAACCTGTGGTTATGCGCAGCCAGCCTGCCAAGGGGACTTGACTAGAGGGACGATCACTGCTTTCCTTTCAGGCCTGACAGAGCTCGGACGCGCCTACTCCTGTCATGTCCAAGCTGTGAGACCTTGGGCAAGTAGCTCTCCCTTTCTGAATCTCAGTTTCATCTCGGGATACTCATGTTTTTCTGTCTTGGGGCCCCTGTGGGAACTGAGTTAAAGGATAGGACTTTGCACACCACTCTGCTGTGCCAACATAAGCAGAGTTAAGGCCAGTTACTCTAGATGGTGTAAATATTACAACTTTCCGGGCGCGGTGGCTCACGCCTATAATCCCAGCACTTTGGGAGGCCGAGGTGGGTGGATCACGAGGTCATGAGATCAAGACCATCCTGGTCAACATGGTGAAACCCCGTCTCTACTAAAAATACAAAAATTAGCTGGGCATGGTAGCGCACGCCTGTAGTCCCAGCTACTCGGGAGGCCGAGGCAGGAGAATTGCTTGAACCCAGGAGGTGGAGGTTGCAGTGAGCCGAGATTGAGCCATTGCACTCCAGCCTGGGTAACAAGAGTGAAACTCTGTCTCAATATATATATATATATTACAACTTAATGGGGAGGGGTTATAGAGAAGTGGATTTTTTTTTCTTTCTTCCTTTTTTGTTTTTTTGAGACAGGATCTTGCTCTCTCACCCAGGCCAGAGTGTAGTGGTGCCATCACAGTTCACTGCAGCCTTGACCTCCTGGGCTCAAGCAATCCTCTCACCTCATTCGCCTGAGTAGCTGAGACTACAGATGTGTGCCATCATGCCCAGCTAATTTTTTTTAATTAATTTTTTTGTAGAGATAGGGTGTCATATGTTGCCCAGGCTGGTCTCAAACTACTGGGCTCAAGTGACCCTCCTGCCTCAGCCTCCCAAATTACTGGGATTCCAGGCATGAGCCACCATGCTGGGCTGGGAGGTGGAATTTCGTTCAATCTAAAGATAAGCTTTCTCATAGCTCTGGTTACTGTGGGAGGCAGCAGAGGAGTGAATGATTGTCAGTTGGGAGGGTGCAGAGAGGGCTCCTGTCCTGTGGTAGAGGTGAGGGTGGCTTAGGTGAGACAACACTGAGGCCCTTTTCAGCCACAGGTCCCTTCCCTGTGTTCCCTCCCTCCCTCTCCTCTCCTGCCGGCGTGGGAGGTATTCAGCAGATTTCACCAGAGGCAGTGGAGGGGGCAAGTACCTAAGCCAGAACTCAAAAGGTCTTATTCTCCACTTGACTCTGCCACTGACTTGTGTAATTTTGGGCCTTTCCCAGGCTTTCATTTTCTTAAATATCTAATTAAAAATATATAGCAAATACAGTTTGTAAACTATGACAAGATGACTATGCACAAGAGTATGATCTTGCAACACTTGTAAAGTGCACTGTAGCTTGTGGAATGACTGGTTAGATTTGGGTGAAACCTTAGCAATCATCTAGGATCTGCGTAGATAATACATTGAGGATTGGGCTTTGTGGTTTGCAAAGCATTTTTTTTTTTTCTCTTTTGGTCCCAATCACTGGTCTGGATTGATACAAAGCATTTTTATTGGTTTCTTTTATTCAATCCTCATAACACCACCTCAGATTTACAGAGGATGTGGATCTGGTTAACCTGTATGACTATGTAACCTCATGTCAGTCCAGAGCACTGCCTGGAAGTGGGTAGATGTGGGCCTGGGCTGGAATCCCAGCTCCAATGGGACCTTGAGCAAGTTACTTTAGCTGTCTGCACCTAAATTTCCTTCTTGGCAAAACAAAAATACTGGTGGTTCATGCCTGTATTGAACCACCACTTTGGGAGGCTGATATTGGAGGATTGCTTGAGTCCAAGAGTTCAAAACCTGGGCAACATAGCAAGACCCCATCTCTACAAAAATTAAATAAAACATTTACAAGAGTTGTGGTGAAGATTAAATGAGATCACTCATGAAGAAGCTCAGTACAGAACCTGATGAGCAGTAGGTACTTAATAAATGTTAGCCAGCACAAAAAGAAAAAAAAACTCAGCTGGGCGTGGTGGCTTATGCCTGTAATTCCAGCATTTCGGGAGGCCGAGGCAGGTACATCATAAGGTCAGAAGTTCGAAAACAGCCTGACCAACATGGTGAAACCCTGTCTCTACTAAAAATACAAAAATTAGCCAGGTGTGGAGGCATGCACCTGTAATCCCAGCTACTCAGGAGGCTGAGGCAGGAGAATCGCTTGAACCCGGGAGGTGGAAGTTGCAGTAAGCCGAGATTGTACCACTGCACTCCAGCCTGGGCAAGAGAGTGAGACTCTGTCTCAAAACAAAAACAAAAACAAACAAATAAACAAAAACTCAGCTAGGAAATTGCAGGACTGAGCTTCTGACTCCAACGTCAGTGTTCTTGCCCTACATCAAGCTGTTTCACTTCAAATCCTTTCCATCTCACACTGGAGGCATCCCGGGTTGAAGGAGTGAGCTATGCATTGGAAGGCTGCCCTAAGCAGGCAGCAAAGAGGCAGCTTGGTCTCCAGTGACTTGAAAGATTTATTTATTGCCCTGGGGTCCAGTGTGCCAGTTGCCAAAGGGAAAAGCTTCCTTCCAACTGGCCCAGCAAGCTGTCAGAGGAAGAGCCAGGCTTTTGCTGGGGCAGTCATGCAGAGCTGGGATGACAAGCAGAAGGCTGGCAGATCTATCCCTGGGCAGATGGATCACCTGATACAGACGCTGGGGCCTGAGCCCTGGGATTGGCCCAAAACAGGGCTGTGTTGGCTCAACAGCTGGGCGTTGGCACCCTGTCAATCTGCTGAGAGCCTAGAAATAGTGCAGGGACAGTCTGCTGGGCTCAGTGTGTCAGAGGACGCAATCATGCAGGTGCTAACCAAGCGTTACCCCAAGAACAGCCTGCTGACTGTCATGGACCGGTACTCAGCTGAGGTGCGCAACATGGAGCAGGTGGTAATGATCCCCAGCCTTCTGCGGGACGCACAGCCGAGTGGGCATGGGGGCCCTGCCAAGGCCAGGGCCTCTGATCTCTACACCTACTTCACCATGCTCAAGTCCATCCGCGTGGATGTGGACCATGGGCTGCTGCCACGGGAAGAGTGGCAGGCCAAGGTGGCAAGCAGTGAAGCCAAGGAGGCTGAGAATGGAACCGCAAAGACAGAGGAAGTTGTGGATGAGAGTGCCTCAGGAGAGCTGGAGCTGGAAGCCCAGTTCCACCTGCACTTCTCCAGCCTCCATCACATCCTCACATACCTGACCGAGAAAGCCCAGGAGGTGACAAGGAAATACCAGGAAATGACAGGACAGGTCCAGTAGACCTGGGACACTAGGGAAGGTAATTGTGGCTATGCTGGTGGGTGTCAAAGTCTACCAAGTGACATTCCAGAAGAGGAGAGGGGGCAGTGGTGCAACCTGGGAGAGGAACAGCCTGGTTCTCAGATAGAGCCACTCTTGAGACAGGGTATTGGGACCATAACCTCGGGGGGCCTAAGACTAGGCCTGCATTACTATCCTTGTGATCTCAAATTGGCAATTGCAATGAAGTGATATGGAGACAGAAGGAAAAGTGGCCTGTGAGTGCATGCCTCATATGCACATATATGTGTTTGTGCGTGTGTGCTTAATATGTGAATGCTTGCAGATGTGTGAACTGAATGAGTGTGTTCTCACCACTGACTTCGTTAGGAATTTGATTAAAGCGGGCCGGGTGCGGTGGCTCATGCCTGTAATCCCAGCACTTTTGGAGGCTGAAGCAGGTGGATCACTGAGGTCAGGAGTTCGAGACCAGCTTGGCCAACATGGTGAAACCCCATCTCGCCGGGCGTGGTGGCTCACGCCTGTAATCCAAGCACTTTGGAGGCCAAGGCAGGCGGATCACCTGAGGTCGGGAGTTCAAGACCAGCCTGACCAACATGGTGAAACCCCGTCTTAAAAAAAAAAAAAAAGAAACCTGTCTCTACTAAAAATACAAAAATTAGCTGGGCATGGAGGTGGGCACCTGTAATCCCAGCTACTTGGGAGGCTAAGGCAGGAGAAGCACTTGAACCCGGGAGGCAGAGTTTGCAGTGAGCAGCAATCATACCATTGTACTCTAGCCCAGGAGATAGAGCAAGATTCTGTCTCAAAAAAAAAAAAAAAAAGAATTTGATTAAAGCTGTGGACTCTTTCCCCCAAGTTCAGGTAGACAGGCACATAACTGTACATATAATTTCAGGGGACTATCCACCAAGGACTGTCCATGAATCCTAAGAATTCCTGATGTCATGTATTAGTAATAGTCTCCACTGAAGCATATAGTAAGTGCCAGCATAACCTCTAAGTGCTTGACATAGAATTATCTCAATCTTCACAATAATCCTCAAAAGATAGGTTTTATCATTTCCATTTTTAAATTTTCCCCAGAGATGGAGTCTCGCTCTGTTGCCTAGGCTGGAGTACAGTGGTGCAATCTTGACTGACTGCAACCTCCACCTCCTGGGTTCAAGTGATTCTTGTGCTTCAGTCTCCTGAGTAGCTGAGATTACAGGCATGTGCCACAACACCCAGCTAGTGTTTGTATTCTTAGTAGAGGTGGGGTTTCACCATGTCGGCCAGACTGGTCTTGAACTCCTGACCTCAAGTGATCTGCCCACCTTGGCCTCCCAAAGTGCTGGGATTACAGGTGTGAGCCACTGTGCCTGGCCAGGTTTTATTATTTCCATTTTATAAATTAAGAAACTTACCCAAGGCATGTGTATTGATTTAAGTGAACACTGTGAATTCCGTGTGTGTGATAGTGATTCCCAACATTTTTTCAAGTCACAGAACATGGAAAATTATGTGGCACTTAGGGATACATAGGTGAGGTTGCTTGCATTACTCCTACAACAGGCTGGGGGTACTCTGACCACACCAGATTGAAACCCACCAAACAGGAAGCTGAGGGACCATCATCTTGCCACTATAATTCATTCCAGGCACACCCAAGTATGCAGGCATGCCTGTTGGGAAGCCCTGTTGTATGTAAATGTGAATATGTGTTGCAGTCTGAGCCTACATAACTATGCACAGAGGGGCTGTGGTAGTGACTGGCTAACAGCAAGTTAAACAAGCAGGTGGTGGCAGAGGGTAGGAGGTGGGAAGGGGCCCAAGTATGGTCACAACTAGGTCACTCGGTCACTAATGGATAAAGACTAGTTTTTTTGTTTGTTTTTTTTTTGAGTCGGAGTCTCACTCTGTCACCAGGCTGGAGTGCAGGGGGCGTGATCTAGGCTTACTGCAACCTCTGCCTCCCTGGTTCAAGCAATTCTGCCTTAGCCTCCCTAGTAGCTGGGACTACAGGTGCATGCCACCACACCCATCTAGTTTTTTGTATATTAGTAGAGACAGGGTTTCACCATGTTGTCCAGGATGGTCTCGATCTCCTGACCTTCTGATCCACCTGCCTCAGCCTCCCAAAGTGCCGGGATTACAGGATGAGCCACTGTGCCTGGCCAATACTAGTATGAATAGAAATTGGACCATAGCACCTGCCAGTTTAGCTTCTGTGCCACCTGCCAGCCCTGCTCCCGGAAACTGGCCTCATCCATTGTAAACAACATCCATGTCCATTGCTATCTCAAAACTACTTGATGCAGCTATGTAGAACAAAATTCTCATCCCCACTTTACTAGTAAGGAAATTGAAGCCCGAGAGGTGAAGTGACTCACCCAAAGTCACTCAGTAAGGAGACAAAAGCGAGACCAGCCTCAACTTTGAGCTGAGTGTGTTCTTTCCATCATACTCACTGTCTGCCATATTGTGTTATCTTCATAATCTGTGTTAAGGCTGCACCGTAATTATGGGGAATAAACATGGACCCCCAAACACAGAACCTATGGAGAGATCTACTCCAAGCATTTCCTCAGCAGTTTTCCCTTCTCCCACTTCAAACTCAAACTGTCAACCTAGACCCTGCTTCCCTTTGCCCTGAGGCTCCCCGAGGTTCTTCACAGAGGTTCTTCTTGAATTAGACTGGGCTGTGTCAACAGCTCTGGGTTCACATTCTGATTCTATCACTAACGAGCTGTGGGGCCTTGGGCAAGCTACTTCACTTCTCTGGATTTCAGCTTCCTCACTGAATGACAGTGGTAGTAAAACTTAAAACTGGCATTCGAATAGTTTTAAGATCACTTTGCATATCCATTACCTAATGGAATTATCATTACCTTTTGCAGATGAAAAAACAGGAGGCCTGAGAAGTAAAATGAGTCCAAGGTTACTCAGTAAATGGCAGCGTCAAGATGTGAACTCTGGCCTATTAGAAGAACTCTGGCCTAAAAGAATCACCTAATTCTTTTCCTCTACAGTGGTAGATTTTCTGTGTTCCTTAGAGCCTTAGACTTTTGCAGAGTGTGCACAAAGTGGGAACTGGGTGTGGCAGAGTGGGTAGAAACCCCGCTCTTTGACTCACCAAATAGCTTCAAAGACCAGAGCAGCAATTCTACATCATAATGTTTCAACACACCCTATCCTGATTTTCATTCAGGGGCAGTGTGGTATAACAGTTAAAAATCTGGGCTCTTGTCCTGGCTCTTCCATTGACTTCTGTATTATCCTTCACGACTTTTTTTTTTGAAGCAGAGTCTTGCTCTGTTGCCCAGGCTGGAATGCAGTGGCAGTCTCAGCTCACTGCCACCTCCGCCTCCCAGATTCAAGCAAGTCTCCTGCCTCAGCTTCCCGAGTAGCTGGTGTTACAGGCACACACCACCACGCCTAGCTAGTTTGTACTTGAAGTAGAGAAGGGGTTTCACCATGTTGGCCAGGCTGGTCTTGAACTCCTGACCTTGTGATCCACCCCCCTGCCCTCAGCCTCCCAAAGTGCTGAGATTACAGGCAGGAGTCACCATATCCTGCCCTAGACAACTTACCTTACCTTTCTGCATCTCAGTTTCCCTGTTAGTAAAATACAGCAGATAAATCAAATGAGTTATTCCAGCTCTGACAACCTAGGATTCTCCTTACAGTTCTAAGGCACTGCCAGTTTTCCGACAGCAACACCAGCATTGAGATTTTTCATTGCTCTTCCTGCTTCAATGGGCGTGTGACAGTATCTTAGTTGTTTGAATTGATACTGACGACTTTTTAAAAATTTTCTGCACTCCACAGATCCCTTCACAAGATAGAAGGCAGACTCTGTGATGAGGCCAGCAGAGCAGTCCACTAGCCGATGATGAGAGCAGAAAAGCCTAGACCTGCAGCCAGAAGTGAAGACGGCTCAGTTCTCCGGGATGATTCTCTTATCTCCTTCTGAGCACCAATTCCTGGACTCCAGTTACCGGCTCACTTTTAGTCTGTTGCTATTCACTGCTCCCCTCCTCTTACCAGCTTGGGGAGGTGACCAGTGGTTCAGGAAGGACTAGACAGTTACCTGTCCAGTGTGGTATGGTAGGAAGAACGTAGGTGTTGGCATGTGACCAAAATTGACATCCCTCCTCCTGGCAGTCATTCAGTATGTGTACTTGGGCAAGTTATTTAACCCACTGGAGCCTAAATTTCCTCATCTATAAAATGGGGATATTATCATCTACCTCACAAGCTTGTGAAAATTAAACATGATGAATCAAAAGCACTTGGCATGTGAGGGCTATTAAAATAGTCTACCCGCTGGAGCCTAAATTTCCTCATCTATAAAATGGGGATAATACTACCTCACAAGCTTGTGAAAATTAAACATGAGAATCAAAAAGCACTTGGCATGTGAGGGCTATTAAAATAGCCTGATTTTTTTTCTCCCCCGCTCCCCTATGTATTTGCTCTAGCCTTTGCTTTTTACTCACCAGAGCTGAGAGGTAGCAGAGTCTCTTGGGATGAATGGTTCACCCTCTTGTACTTGCCAACCACTGATGAGGCCAAGGACAAGTGAACTATAAAGCTATTTATTGCAGCAATAAAAAACAAAATCTTGTGTTTATTTGTACATCTTTATTATTTCTAAAGCACTTTCTCCAATCTAATTTCAGGTTTTACAAGTGGTACTCAAGAAAAGAGATGAAATTCATCTAATTTTGCCCAGAAACCATCTGCTTATGTTTATATGGCCAACTAATTTGAAATCACATATAAAGAAAAATACTTTATCTCCAAAACTTAATCTGATTATAAATTCTAAGCTAGGAAACAAAAACTTTTTGGACAAGTACTTGTTTTTTTTTTGAGATGGAGTTTCGCTCGTTAGCCAGGCTGGAGTGCAATGGCGCGATCTTGGCTCACTGCAACCTCCACCTCCTGGGTTCAAGCAATTCTCCTGCCTCAGCCTCCCGAGTAGCTGGGATTACAGGCACGCACCACCATGCCCAGCTAATTTTTTTGTATTTTTAGTAGAGACGGGGTTTCATCATGTTGACCAGGATGGTCTCGATCTCTCGACCTCTTGATCCACCCGCCTCGGCCTCCCAAAGTGCTGGGATTACAGGCTTGAGCCACCGCGCCCGGCCCAGCTAATTTTTGTATTTTTGGTAGAGACGGGGTTTCACCATGTTGACCAGGATGGTCTGAATCTCTTGACCTCGTGATCCACCCGCCTCGGCCTCCCAAAGTGCTGGGATTATAGGCGTGAGCCACTGTGCCCAGCCCGTACTTTGTTTTTTTTGACAGGGTCTCTGTCTCCCAGGCTGTTGTAATGTTGCCCACGCTGCAGTGAACTGCAACACAATCAGTTTATTGCATCCTCAAACTCCACCTCAGCCTGAGTAGCTCAGACTACAGGCACGTGCCACCATGCCCAGCTGATTTTTGTATTTTATGTAGAGAGTGTTTTGCCATGTTGCCCATGTTGGTCTTGATCGCCTGGGCTCACACAATCTACTCTGCCTCAGCCTCTCAAAGTGCTGGGATTGCAGGCATGAGCCATTGCATCAGGCCAGGACAAGCATTTGACAAGCCGGAAAAAGTAACCTCATTCCAGTTAGGTGCAGTCTCTTGCTTCTAATTGCACCACGGTCCACTGTAGACAGTGTTAGCTCCTGAGTCCACTTTCTCTGGGATAATCCATCTAGGAGCAAAGACACCTTTGCAGCGTAAGATTTCTATTTTCCTTGTCTCGAGTTTCCTCCTTCTTTTATTTATTTATTTATTTTTTGAGACAGAGTCTCACTTTGTCACCCAGGCTGGAGTGTAGTGGCAGAATCTCAGCTCACTGCAACCTCCACCTCCTGGGTTCAAGCTATTCTTCTGCCTCCGGCTTTCAATATAGGCGCTCACGACCACGCCTGGATAATTTTTGTATTTTTAGGAGATGGAGTTTCAGCAAATTGGCCAGACTGGTCTTGAATTTCTGACCTCGTGGTGATCTACCTGCCTTGGCCTCCCAAATGCTGTGATTACAGGCATGAGCCACTGAGCCTGTCCAAGTCTCCTCCTTCTAAACCACCTTCTATATCATTACAGACAGAGCTCAGAAAATACAAACCAGACTGTATGATTTAAAACCCTTTAATGACTTAATATCTATAGGATGAAGTCAAAATTATTTTGCATGAGTCACAGAATTCTCTGTAATCTGTCTCACTCTAAATTCATTTTGCACTAGGACAGAAGCAGGGAAGCCTTTTCTGAAAGGGCCACATATTAATTAGGCTTTGCCAGCCATAGGTCTCTATCACTACTCAATTCTGCTCTTATAGCATGGCAGTTGCCATAAACATATAAACAAATAAGCATGGCTGTTTCAGTAAGACTTTATTGACAGTGGGCCAGATTTGGCCCATAGGCTATAGTCTGCTAACTCTAAACTAGAACTCAACCTCATTTTAAAATCTTTCAGATTAATGAATGGAAACTGACCATCATTCTCTGATGAACTATTTTTCTTACAACAAGAAAGAGTCAGAGTACTCAAGGTAACTATTTTAATTACAAGGTGTCAACATACAGATTAGCATAAACAACTGTCACTGGAAACGTGTTCCATCAAATTCAGAAACGGCAGGTATCAGTGAAACTGGAGCAAGCATTTTGAAGACTTCAACGTACTGGATAGAATTTTTCAAAAAGTTGACCATACGTTTTCTTCTCTATAAAAGGAAAGATCATAAAATACATATTTTTATTTATTTATTTTTATTTTTTATTTTTTTTTAGCCAGGGTTTCACCATGTTGGTCAGACTGGTCTCAAACTCCTGACCTCAGGTAATCCACCCGCCTCAGCCTCCCAAAATGCTGGGATTACAGGCGTGATCCACCACGCCCGGCCCAAAGGATATAGTTTTTAATTGTTTTAAAAATTGTATTACCTAAAAGAAAATTAATACTCAGTCATCTTACTGATTGAAATCCTGCTATAGTCTGAATGTTCATGTCCTCCCAAAGTTAGTAAGCTGAAATGTAACCCCTAAGGCAATGATATTAAGAGGCTGGGACTTTGGGATGTGATTAGGTCATGAAGGCTATGTTCTCATGAATGGGATCAGTGCCCTTATGAAAGAGACTTAGGGGAGCCTGTTTGCCTTTTCTGCCATGTGAGGACACAGCAAGAGAGCATCATCTATGAAACACAAAGTGGGCCCTCAGCAGACACTGACTGTGCTGGCACCCTGATTTTGGACTTCCCAGCCTCCAGAATTGTAAGCAATAAATTTATATTATTTATATATTACCCAGTCTATTCTACAATAGGTAGCAGGAAAAAAAATTAATTTTTAAAAATTACCCAGTCTATGCATTTGGTTATAGTAGACCAAATGGACTAAGACAAACCCTTAAGAATTTCCTTATTTTCTTGTCCTCAACTATGGCTTGGCAATCACTGAAAGATTTTCTTTCACTGAATGAAGAATAACTTTGGAGGAATCTGTGATGACAACCAGACGGCTGCTAAGGAGGACCAGGTGATGCCAGGAGTATCTTGAATGAAGAGGTGAAGGAAGAAATAAACACAGAAGGGCATGCATCAGCTAGGAGAGGTTAGCAGCCAATGTGGTCAAGCTCTCTGGGTTCCCACTGTCTGTGCATGAGGCTCTTGTCACAACTGCCAGTAGTCTGCAGCTCAGAAACAGAATGAGCCCTGCAGTTATACACACTCCTGCAGACACAGGGAACTTGTGGAACTATCTCTAGGCAAAGAGCCAGAGGTCTGGGACTGAAGACTGCTCAGTCACTGGGTCTCATTCCTACTAATCAATATATCCAAGACGACTTCCAGTTCTAACACTTAACGGTTCTGAGTATTATACATTCCTGATACATCCACTATTCACAGCTTTGTGCTAGTCTTTAAGCTCTTCTTTGGCAAAAAAAAAAAAAGCCATCTTTCTGATCTACCATAAATATCATATATGTGACTGAAGGCTGTGGGAATATTAAAGAGTAATGAAATTTTAGAGCTAAATAAGACCTTAGAGATCATTCAGTCTAATGAAATTTAAATGTTTTATATCACACATTTACATTAATAAAAAAAATCTTTTTTTTTTTTTTTTTAAGACAGGGTCTCCTGCTTGGTCACCTAGGCTGGAATGCAGTGGGGTGATTGCAGCTCATGGCAGCCTTGACCTCCCAGGCTCAAGTAATCTTCCTGCCTCAGGCTCCCAAGTAGCTGGGACTATAGGCATGTGCCACCACACCCAACTAGTTTAATTTTTTGTACAGATGAGGTCTCACTATGTTGGCGAGGCTAGGGAAAATCTATTTATATGTTTACAAGTTCAAATTTTTTCTACACTCATTCATTTACATATTTAATATGGATGTGTGTGCCAAACCCCTGGGGAGACAAAAAAAACCTGTCCTAATAAGTTAAACTGCCAACTTACAAAGATTCATATATGTATACATCTGTGTCATATGTGTGTAAAACACAGGTGAGAAAAGTCATATTGCAATTATTAATAGATTCATAGCAGGAGAGAGATACAGCATGCTGAGGGAATGCCTGACTAGCTGGGTGAAGGCTTCACTGAGATAATAAAAGCAGAAATTTTCCAGGTAGATGGGGTGGCAACAGGGGCAAGAGGAAGAAGAACACAGCAGGAAGAAGGTATAACATGTACAAAGCAGATGCGAAAACATGGCTGCTGCCAGTTTGGCACTTATTTGCAGGCGAGTCTCAGCCGCCCTGAAGGCGTCCATGTTGTTAATAACTCCGCAGGTCCCTGCCTGCACAGGGTTTTTTCTTAGTTTGTTGCCTAAAAGTACACCAAGTGTGACATCCTTTCACCAGTATAGATTACTTCATACCACATTGTCAAGGAAAGGACTAGAAGAATTTTTTGATGACCCAAAAAACTGGGGGCAAGAAAAAGTAAAATCTGGAGCAGCATGGACCTGTCAGCAACTAAGGAACAAATGTAATGAAGATTTACATAAACTTTGGTATGTCTTACTCAAGGAAAGGAACATGTTTCTAACCCTAGAGCAGGAGGCCAAGCAACAGATATTGCCAATGCCAAGTCCAGAGCGGCTGGAGAAGGTAGTAGAGTCCACGGATGCTTTAGATACCATTGTCCAGGAAAGAGAAGATGCCCTGAGGCTTCTTCAGACTAGTCAAGAAAGAGCTCAACCTGGTGCTTGGAGAAGAGACATCTTTGGAAGAGTCATCTGGCACAAATTCAAGCCGTGGCCTATACCTTGGCACCTAAATAAAAGATACAATAGGAAACGATTCTTCGCAATGCCTTATGTGGACCGTTTTCTCAGACTGGAACGGGAGAAACAAGCCCGTATCAAAGCATGGAAGGAAAATTTAGAGAAAAAGAAAGCAAAAATTCTTCTAAAGAAGTTTCCGGCAGGGCGCCTATAATCCCAGCACTTTGGGAGGCAGAGGCGGGTGAATCACGAGGTCAAGAGATCGAGACCATCCTGGTCAACAAGGTGAAACCCCGTCTCTACTAAAAATACAAAAATTAGCTGGGCATGGTGGTGCGCGCCTGTAGTCCCAGCTACTCGGGAGGCTGAGGCATGAGAATTGCTTGAACCCAGAAGGCGGAGGTAGCGGTGAGCCAAGATCACGCCATTGCACTCCAGTCTGGGTAACAAGAGCGAAACTCCGTCTCAAAAAAAAAAAAATAAAAATAAAAATAAAAAAAAAAAAAAGAAGTTTCCACATCTTGCGGAAGCCCAGAAGTCAAGTCCTGTCTAAGATATCTGAACTCTTAAATTTACTATTTTGTTTTTCTTGCATAAGTCTGTGTATAAGAGTGAATAAATATATGTTAAGTGGTTTATAAAGAAGAAGAAGAAGAAAAAACATATACAAAGCAATACAGGACAGACTCAGGACAAAGCATTTCACCAGGCAAATGATGAGTGATGAGGAAGTGTTCCATACGGCTCAGATCCACCATTATGCGTAACTGCCTGCTATGTGTAGGCTCTGTGTGAGAGGCTGGGGAAATAAAGACAAAGCTATAGCCCATGAAGAACACAGACATGTGTATATCATATGGTAGACAGGGATGTGGGTAAAGTGTTTCTACCAGAGGACAGGCAATTAGTGAAGATGGAGGAAATAAGCCATCCTAAGGAGCCTGAATTTTATCCACTAAGCAATAGATGACTATTTTAAGCAGATGTGATCAGATTTGCTGTCACTGGAAATAAGACCAAAGCAAGAAGTGAGTTAAGAAGCAAGTGCAACTATCCAAGCAAGAGATTATCAAGGCCTGAACCAGGATAGTGGTATTGGGAGAGGAGAGTTCAAAGTTGAGAAATATTTAGGAAGGAGAACTGATAAGACCTGACAACTAATGGGAAGCGAAAGAGAAAGACTTGATGATTCTCAGGCTTCTGGCTTGAGCATCCAGGTGGACAGCAGTGTCACTCCCTGAAGCAGGACAGAGGAGCAGGAGGTTTGGGAAGGCAGAGGGGACATGAATTTTGTTGCTGTCCAAAGGACACAGAGGAAGTCAGGCAGAAAGTGGATATATTAATTCAAGAGAATTTTGGTCTATAGACTAAGATGTGGGAGTCAACAGAATTTAGAAGTTACCTAAAGCCATAGACATGGATAAGAGTAACCAGGGAAAATAATAATACAGTAAATACAGATTCTCTACAATTAATTTGAAAAAGCTTTTTCTTTTCTTTTTTTTTTTTTTATAAAGACAGGGTTTCACCATGTTGGTCAGGCTGGTCTTGAACTCCCAACCTCAGGTGATCCGCCCGCCTTGGCCTCCAAAGTGCTTGGATTACAGGCGTGAGCCACCACGCCCGGCCTCTTTTTTTTTTTTAACACGGAGTATGAGAGAAATACCTTTTTCTTCAGGAAAATCCTCTGGATGTAATTTTACATACTCAAACATGTCACGATCCCTCACAGCACATACGTAGTCATGACGTTTTACAAGAAAATATCCAGCAAAATAAAAGGCTGTAACATACAGAAGCTGGCGATGCAAACCTGAAATTCAAATGACAAATTCCAAAGAAAGCAAAAATTAGTCAATGTGTATTAAGAGTTACATTTTTGGCTGGACACAGTGGCTCACACCTGTAATCCCAGCACTTTGGGAGGCTGAGGCAGGCGGATCTTCTGAGGTCAGGAGTTTAAGACCAGCCTGGCCAACATGGTGAAACCCTGTCTCTATTAAAAATACAAAAAATAGCCGGGGGTGGTGGCAGGCACCTGTAGTCCCAGCTACTCGGAAGGCTGAGGCAGGAGAATTACTAGAACCCAGGAGGCAGAGGTTGCAGTGAGCCAAGACTGTGCCACTGCACTCCAGCCAAGCCAGCAGAGCAAGACTCCTTCTCAAAAAGAAAAAAAAGTTACATGTTTACATTTCAGATATACAATCTGTTGTTATGGCATTACTTTTTTTTTGAGACAGAGTCTTGCTCTGTTACCCAGGCTGAAGTGCAGGGGTGCGATCTTGGCTCACTGCAACCTCTGCCTCCCAGGTTCAAGTGGTTCTCCTGACTCAGCCAACTGAGTAGCTAGGATTACAGGCACCCACCACCACACCCGGCTGTTTTTTCTATTTTTAGTAGAGACAGGGTTTCACCATGTTTACCAGGGTGGTCTCGCCTTCCTTGGCCTCCCCAAGTGCTGGGATTACAGGCATGAGCCACTGTGCCCGGCCTGTTATGACATTTCTTTAAAAAAAGGGGGGAGGGCGGTATATGGTGATTGTTATCAGAATAGTCAGTCTATGATAGGAGGCCTGTGACTTATTACTAAGTACTGTACACTTATTTAGAGCCTCCTATTCAAATTGTGGTCCTCAGACCAGTAGCAGCAGTGTTTGAGAACTTGATAATAACATCAAGTTCCTCCCCAGATCTCATGAATCAGAATCAGAATTTTTTTTTTTTTTTTTTTTTTTTTGAGGCAGGGTCTCACTCTGTTGCCCAGGCTGGAGTGCAATGATGCAATCGCGGCTCACTGCAACCTCTGCCTTCCAGGCTCCTGCCTCAGCCTCCCTCAGCCTGGGACCACAGGCGTGCACCACCAGGCCCAGCTAACTTTTGTATTTTTTTTTTTTTGTAGAGACGGGCTTTTGCCCTGTTGCCCAGGATGGTATTGAACTCTTGAGCTCAAGCGATCCACCCGCCACGGCCTCCCAAAGCGCTGGGATTACAGGTGTGAGCCACTGTGCCTGGCCCAGATCCAAATTTTAACAAGACTCCTATGCTATTCGTATGCACATTAACTCTGAGAAGCAATGGTTTCCAATATCCACTTAGAGGTCTAAAAAAAAAAAAAAAAAAGCTCTGCTACTTTATAGCCACATGACCTTGGGTAAGCTGCTGTTAACCGGTTAGGCTCAGTTTCCTCGTCATTAATAATAAATACATCTCTATAAAGTGTTTTAAGGCCTAAATGCTATCAATGCCCATAGTGTGAGTGGTGCATGGCATGGAGTCATGGCTCATTTGTGCACACAGCACAACAAGAACTGAAGAGAGTGGTCCCGGGTCCTTCACAGATTCAGTTCCTGCTTCACTGTGTGACATGGTAATTGCCCCATAAACTACATACCTCGAAATACCTCAGCTTTCTGTTGAAACTGCTCTCTGTAACCCTAATGTGACAGGAAAGCAGTCCAAACCAACACCATTTTGGCCCCTGCGCCATTTTAAGAAAAACTAAGACTTGTAGTAAGTAACTAAAGTCTGTAATTTCCACCCTACTCAGACAATGTGTAAACTAACGCTTATCTTGACTTCTGTGAACCACTTAAGTAACAATCGGAATGTCCAAAGCCCCTCACCCTCACCCCCGCCCAGAGGTGGTGTACGGGCATGAAAGAACTTGACACCCTCCTTTCGGGGCCACTGGTTAGAGAGACGCGAGTCCTCCGTGGCCGCCGGCAATAAAGACCCTGTAATTTGGCCTAGTCTTTTGTCTCTGGTGATTTCGCGCTCCCTCCATTACAACTGCACCTCAGTTTCTTCACGTGCGAAATAACACTCTGGCTCTGCTCGATTCTGAAGAGCTAACCGGGCGCGGACAGCCTGAGAAGGCGAGCTGGGGCCAAGTAAGCAAAAAAGCACGGAAAAGCAGAGCACCTCAGGAGGGCGTACGGCAGGGCCGGTGTGCAGCCCTGCGACCCCCTCCCAGCCGATTCCGCCAGCGCAGCCCTCACCCGCCTTCAGGACCGGCCTCCGGTAGATGTAGTTGTCAAGCAGGCCGGTGCAGTACCCCAAGAAGCCTAAATAAAGGATACGCGGGTCGGTCAGGTTGGGCGGGGGCAGGCTCCGGGACTCATCCGGCAGAAACCTTAAAGGTTCTCGGTTCTGCCGCGAGTATAACATGGTGACGCAGTTCTCACTTGAGGCCTAGCCTTAGACCACGAACTACAAGGAAAACCACCACGACCACTATGCGGGCCTACGCAATCAGCTTTGTCCTCCGCGCGCCGGCCGGAAGGTCCCGGCGCAGCGCGGTGCAGTGCCCAAACGCTTCCCCGCGTGTGCTGCCGCCGGAACCTGGCATGCAAAGTTCCGCGCTACTAGATGTCACTTAATTCGCCCGCCCGCGCGAATTCGTCTGTGGGAGTGGGCTTCGCGGGCCTGGTAACGCGGAGTCGAGGAGTACCCCAGACTAGCCAAAGTGGGCGAAGACTATGAGACACTGATTTTCTTTTCGGAGAACTTTCCCACCCAGAATTGCCTATCCCTCCCCTGCCCTTTGTGCATAGATTTATCTTTTCATCCAACATCCAGAAATGGGCATGATGCATAGTTTTGAGAAACGTAATTAATTGAAGTTCCATAAAAGCTAGTTTTCATTTTCTGAGTATTCAGTCGTTCATTCGCACAGACACACCCTCCAAAGCCTAAAATTAAGGTCCGGTCAGTAACGAATTTAGAGACGCCCAGGACTGGATCATTTTAGCCTATTCTTGACATTCAGATTCGGAGATAGCATCCTAAAATGTTTCACCTCTGAGTCTTCAGGTCCTTGCACATGGTTGAGGGAGGTGTTCCCTAAAGGTTTTAGTAATGAGGCCGGGCGCGGCTGCTCACCCCTGTAATCCCAGCACTTTGGGAGGCCGAGGTGGATGGATCACCTGAAGGTCAGGAGTTCCAAGACCAGCTTAGCCAACATAATGAAATCCCGTCTCTATGAAAAATACAAAAACTTAGCCGGGCGTAGTAGCGCATGCCTGTAATCGCAGCTACTCTGAAGGCTGAGGCAGAAGAGTCGACTACTTGGTGCAAGGTTCTTTGAACTGGCGGCACCATAGGCTATACCCTCGTTGAGCCATGGCAACCCCCGTGACCCCCTAGTACACCTCTGGATGGCCTCCTGGAGCCGGAAAGTCTGAAGAAGAAAGAATGGCTAGTTCTGCCATTGTTCTTGCCTCAACCATTCCTGCCTTAACTGATAAGCCAATCTCGTGACGCTGGACCTTGGACCTCGTGACACTCCCCCCTCCTCCCTGCAACAATAGAAAAAGAATAGGTAGCTCCTGCAGTGCCCGATTAACTGACCTTGTGACATTCTACCATTGTTCTGGCTTAACTGATAAGCCAACCTTGTGACACTGGATTCTGGACCTTTTGATACCCCCATCCCTGGTGACACCCCCCTACCCCTGGTGACCCCCCCCACCCCTGCTTCCAAAAACCTCTGTGAACTGTAACTTCTGTAACTTTCCACTGCATACCCCAAATCTATAAAACCAACTCCTATCCCACCGCCCTCCCCTGACTCTCTTTTCCGACTCAGCCCACCCACACCCAGGTGAATATTCAGCCATGTTGCTCACACAAAGCCTGTTGTGCGGAGTGTTTCTTCATTCAGAGTGTGCTTAACTCTCAGGAAGATGACACCAGAAGAATTGCTTGAACCTGGGAGGCGGAGGTTGCAGTGAGCAGAGATCACACCATTGCACTCCAGCCTGGACAACAAGAGCAAAATTTTATCTCAAAAGAAAAAAAAAGGGGGGGTTGAATAATGAAAGAAGGAATTTATAATTCTGTTAATTTTTCAGACTCTGCTCATCCATCTCTAATATAGCAGATTGAACAGCCCTTCCTGATGTTGAGCTAAAATGTCTTTTACAGGCTCACCCCTGTAATCCCAGCACTTTGGGAGCCCGAGGCAGGCGGATCACGAGGTCAAGAGATCAAGACCATCCTTGCCAACATGGTGAAACCCCATCTCTACTAAAATACAAAAATTAGCTGGGCCTGGTGGTGCATGCCTGTAGTCCAGCTACTCAGGAGGCTGAGATAGGAGAATTGCTTAAACCCAGGAGGCGGAGGTTGCAGTGAGCTGAGATTAGGCCACTGCACTCCAGCCTGGTGACTGGTGACAGAATAAGACTGTCTCAAAAATAAAATAAAATAAAATAAAATAAAAGTCTTCCTGTTATGTCTATTCATTAATAGGGTCAACATTTTATCCAGACGAATGCTGATTTAACCAGAGGTTTATGCAAAAGTATATACATCAAAGATATTGATTTCCTAAGTGGAAGAATTAAATACCAGCTAAGAGTGATTACATAAAGAATGGACCTTTTAACACTACCTGACAGTATTTCTGTGAGAATTTTGCTTTTTTGCTGGGCGCGGTGGCTCACGCCTGTAATCCCAACACTTTGGGAGGCTGAGGTGGGTGGATCACCTGAGGTCAGAAGTTCGAGACCAGCCTGACCAATATAGTGAAACCCTGTCTTAAAAAAAAAAAGGAATTTTTCTTTTTTTTTTAAGATGGAATCTCGCTCTGTCACCAGGATGGAGTGCAGTGGCACAATCTCAGTTTACTGCAACCTTCGCCTCCTGGTTTCAAGAGATTCCCCTGCCTCAGCCTCCCGAGTAGCTGGGACTACAGGCACGTACCACCATACCTGGCTAATTTTTTTTGTATTTCAGTAGAGATGGAGTGTCACCATGTTGGCCACGATTGTCTCAATTTCCTGACTTCATGATCCACCCTCCTCGGCCTTCCAAAGTGCCAAAATCCCAGGTTGGAGTGCTGGAATTACAGGCATGAGCCACCAAGCCCAACCTGCTTTTTTTTTTTTTGTCTGAGTGGGGTCTCGCTTTGTCACCCAGACTGGAGTGCAGTGGTGTGATCATGCTGGCTAATTTTTAATTTTTTGTAGAGACAAGATCTCTCTATGTTGCCCAGGCTGGTCTGGAGCTCCTGGGCTCAAGGGATCCTCCTGCCTTGGCCTCCCAAAGTGCTGGGATTACAGGTATGAGCCACCTCGCCCAGCCCCAATTAAAATTTTTCTGGAGTGTATATTAGACCTTTCTTGAAAGGCAGCAAATGTTTCAAAAGTATACCCCCTTTATCTCAGTAATTACACATCTGGAAATCGGTCCTCTGAAAATAGTGTGGCATGAAACACCTTTTTTTGCACAAACTTTTTCGTTTTTGTTTTTTTAACCAGTGTTTCTTTTAAAATTTTATCAAAAGAATGAAAACAACAAAAAATGTTCCTCAGGAGCTATATGTAAATTCTGAATACGAGATAAACTATTAGGAAAACACTTGAAGTTTACAGATTTTGTTAAAACATGATGAAATACTTGTGTATTCAATGAATATTTAAAGGCTGAGCTTCTATTAAAAAAAAATCTAACTCCAAGTAAGAGGCTCTATAATGGAAACTTAGCCCACCACTCCCACTCCTCACCACATAATCCCCCACAATCTTCTGGGGCCTGTTTTTTGTCTGTTTGTTTTTGAGACAGAGGCTCATTCTGTTACCCAGGTTTGAGTGCAGTGGCATGATCTCAGCTGACCACAACTTCTGCCTCCCTGGTTCAAGAAATTATCCTGCCTCAGCCTCCTGAGTTTCTGGGATTACAGGTGTGCACCACCATGCCCTGCTAATTTTTGTATTTTTAGTAGAGATGGGGTTTTGCCCTGTTGGCCAGGCTAGTCTTGAACTCCTGACCTCAAGTGATCTGCCCACCTTAACCTCTCAAAGTGCTGGGATTACAGGCATGAGCTACTGCATCCAACCCTATTTTTTTGTTTTGTTTTGTTTTGAAGGAAATTTAAGATACAAAAAATTACAAAGAACAATACAACAAATATTCATATTCAACTACGAAGATTTAACAACTTTTAATATTGTCATATTTTTCAGCCCCCTCCTCTTTTATTTTAAAGGAAATAAGACACCACAGACATAATAAAGTTCACTTTCCCTTCTTTCCTGGGGACAACCACTATCATGAGTTTACTGTGGATATTTCCAGTCCATTTTTTATAATTTTACATATATTTAGTATTGTGTTATATGTGCCTTTTAAAAATCTAAATATTGTGATTCATTGTTTCTGTTTTTCTCTTGGTTTTTCATTCCATGTAAAATTTTCGAGATCTATCCATGATGATACATAAAGATTGGCAGTTGCCTGTAATCCCAGCTACTAAGGAGTCTGAGGTAGGAGAATAGCTTGAACCCGGGAAGCTGAGGTGGCATTGCACTTTAGCCTGGGCGACAAAAGCAAGACTCTGTCTCAAAAAACAAAACAAAACTTCATTTATACTGATTAATGGCTATTCATACTGATTAATGACTATCATCAAAAAAGATTCATCCTTTTTGACTACAATATAATATTACATCATATAAATATGTCACATTTTATTCATCCATTATTCTTTTGGTGAGTATTTAGGTTGTTTTAGATTATATTATGTGTACCTAATTTTATACCCTTGCCTCTTAGGTCTAGAGAAACTTTTGCACATAGGTACCAATGCTAGGAGATATGTACAAGAATATACCTGGAAGTAATAGCCATTGGTAATACCTCAAAACTGGAAACATCTTCAATGTCCAATAAGAACAGAATAGAAAATAAATTGTGGCATTTTGATACAAATGAATAGCCATTAATCAGTATGAATGAATTTTTTTTTGAGACAGAGTCTTTCTTTTGTCACCCAAGCTAAAGTGCAGTAATGTGATATCAGCTCACTGCAATCTCTGCCTCCCGGGTTCAAGCTTTTCTCCTGCCTCAGACTCCTGAGTAACTGGGATTACAGGCGACTCTGCCACCACACCCGGCTAAACTTTGAGTAAATATGGGGTTTTGCCATGTTGGGCAGGCTGGTCTTGAACTCCTGATGTCAGGTGATCCACCCACCTTGTCCTCCCAAAGTGCTGGGATTACAGGCATGAGCCACTGCACCTGGCTGATTTTTTTTTAAGACTTTGTCACCAGGTTGGAGTGCAGTAGCATAATCTCAGCTCACTGAAGCTTCGATGTCCCCCAGCTCAGGTGATCTTCCCAACTTGGCCTCTCAAGTAGCTAGGACCACAGTTGTCCTAGGACCACATCTGGCCAATGAATCTTAAAAACATAACTTAGAGAAAAAGAGACAAGTTACACGCGAACATATTATGAATCCATTGATACAAAATTCAATATTAGGTGAAAATGCATTTTCAGAGACAAATGTTAGTCCTAAAG